CCTTACCCTATCTGATCATATAAAATGGGTAGATATTCTCAGGAAAAGGTGATCCTGCAGATAACCTGGCCCTCTGCTACATAGGACTTTGAAGATGATGACCAACACTTTGAATTGCATCCAGAAAGAAATTGGAAACCAGTGCAACTCTCACAACAGAGGTGTCACATGGGCAAACATAGAGCTCCCATTAGTATGCATGCTGCTGAGTGAATAAAATTTTCAACTATTTTTTTTCATAAGCCTGTATCTCAATTTTTACTTGTTAAGAATTGTTGTTGCAGGTTTTTTTTTTCTGATTTATATATTTTATAGTCATTTAATAGTAAATCAGATAATGGAAACAATTAATCAGAAAGGCATATATTTATCTTTGAAACAATCTAATGGAAAAAAGTGTTACAACTGAAATTGTTTAGAACTTTCTATTTTTCCCCCCGAATAGTATATTGGCTTTCCTTCGTATCTTATGATATTATGTATTCTTTAATTTCTAGGAGAGCTGTTACAATTTCATGTGCTGAGGACTGCGCCAGGAGCTGGCAATGTAACTGTTGACTGGGAAATTGTTGGCCATAATCTGGAACAAAACTTTGAAAATATTTCTGGCATGCTCTGTTTTTTAGAGGTAGTTATCATTTATTTGCTTCACATGTCATAATAAAAAGAAAGTGTGAATGGTTGCACTTGATTTGAGAACAGATGGCCTGGCAATTTTATTGCCTTATTTGCAATGCAAAATTATACATATCTGCTCAGATGTAAGCCATATTTAGACAAATGCAGTGGGACTTATTTCTAAGCATGTAGCACTTTTTCCCTAGCTGTTTTACAAGCACAGTAGGATTTGCTAGAATAAAATGTAATATTTGGATATTAATCTGTTATATCCTAAAACCTGCAGACTCTGCTAAATTGTGAATGTCACAGTAACTTTGTGCTGATGAGGAGCTTTCAATAATGGAATGTTCTTAGTAAGGAAGACTTCTCATAAGATGGTCGAGGCTAGTATTGCTTGTAATAAAACAACTTAGTAGATGAAAAGGTGATTTGTAGAAATGAGTTTCAATGTGTTAGAGCAGTGTTTCTCAACCTTGACAATGTTAAGGCATGTGGACTTCAACTCCCAGAATTCCACAGCCAGCAATGCTGGCTGTGGAATTCTGGGAGTTGAAGTCCACATGCCTTAAAATTGTCAAGGTTGAGAAACACTGTGTTAGAGGTAGTCCTCAACTTACAGGCACAATTGAGCCCCAAATGTGCGTTGCTAAGTGAGACATTTTTAAAGTAAGTTTTGCCCCAATTTATGATCTTTCTTGTCACAGTTGTTAAGTGGATAATTGCAGTTGTTAAGATAGTAACATGGTTGTTAAGTGAATCTGGCTTTCCCATTGACTTTGCTTGTCAGAACGTCACAATAGGTGATCATATGACCCCAGGACATACTGCAACCGTCATAAATATGAAGCAGCTGCCAAGCACATGAACTTTGATCGTCTGACCATGGGGGTGCTGCAATGGTCATAAATGTGGAAAAACAGTCATAAGTCACTTTCTTCACTACTGTTGTAACTTTGAACAATCACTAAACGAATGTAAATCGAGGACTACCTGTAAAACATTGAAACTCATTTCTACAAATCACCTTTTTATCCTAAGTCCTTTTATTACAAGCAGTATTAGCCTGGATCATCTATTATACAGTAGTTGTTAAATAATTGTCCTTTTTTTTTTTGCTTTAACTAATAGGGGGCACTAAATGCAACACTTTATGTATACCTGCTGGATGACCAGATTCCTGAAGAAAAGAAAGAATATCATATAATCCTGCATAATATTAAAACTCAAGGTATCAATCTTGTGGATAAGTATAGCAAATCAAGATTGGTTCGTACATAATGACTAGATTATTTAATATTTTGTATTCTGAAGATGAATGTATTAGTGGATAAAAACCATCAGTCTGAAATGCCATGAACATGTCTGAGTTAGTCTGTTCACAGATCCCTAGAACCATTTAATGCTTCAGTCTAACAGGAATATTGGATCAAACTGAAGTCCTATCTAAGCCAGAATATATGGTAGTCTACCAGATTTTGAGGACAATCGTTTCATGTACTTTGGGGGAAATTATGTTCAGAGACAATTTGCTTTTGATTCCAAAAATAAGATATGATGTGTGATAATCATGATAAACATAATCTTCTTTAATTTCTTTATTACTTCTTTAAAATCATTTTAAGATACAACCAACTAGTCATTTTCTTTGGCCCAATAAGTAATTATTTTATATGGGAAGGAAGAGTAGGGGTGCCATTATGCTGTCACAATCATTGTGCACAGAGAGCAGAACAATGGAACGAAAAGATTAATAGGCCATGGTTTTATGAAAAACATATTGGAGTATCTTTTGCCATATACCACCGAACATTTTTTCTATTAAATTAAAGGACACATTCCTTTGGGGAGCCATGCTTTTTAACATCATTTTCAATTTATTTTTAGGCGTCACTTCTACTGGCAGTGCTATTTTGGATCATCAAGGATATGAAGCAGTTTTGACAGTAGAGGCTAGTGATGAACCATATGGCATTCTGAATTTTGCATCTTCATCTAGAACTGTATTAGTCCAAGAGGAAAATAAGACGATTCAACTTTTCATTAACAGAGAATTTGGATCTTTAGGTCTGTAATAGAAGAATGTAGGCTCTAAAGCATATTTTTGTACATATAGCTTCATTATTATTACTTTCTTACCTGCGATGTTTCACAGTATTATGTCATAAAAGCAGAAGAAAATGCGTCAACATCCAAATAAATAAATCTGAAAATGAAAAAGTAATATATTTTCAATCTAACAGCTAAATTGATTCTGAGCAGGTATATTAGGTACCCTGTGTCCATAGTGGCTAGAGTGTGGATATTAGCACCCAACTAGCTTTCTTTTACTCAAATGCATACATAAATATACTGAAGTACACTCTATTCTCTAAGTAGTTGATTGCAGTGTTGTAAATGGCTTTTCCTTTCACCCGATAAAAGAAGTAATGGACACAATTGGGAAAGTCTTGTTTGAGAATTGAGCAAAATTTTAATTTAAACAGTGGGCTTTCTAAACTTTTACTAAAATGATAAAAATATGAGACATTTTATGGAAGGAATTTCATAATGACATAACACAGCAAAAAAGACAGTGCTTTCGGCTTATTTACAGTTCTTACCAGCCAATGCATTCTGAAACATTCACTGGCCTGCCCTAACATATAAGGAAGAAGGTAGCTAGACCTAGCTATCAGATATCTAGATATTTGCACATGTCCAAAAACTAGTATATTATACTATAATATTTATGTCTTTATGTGATCATTATGTCATAATCACTAGACTTCACTTTACTATTAAAAGAACAAAGCAGATGCAAAATATAGCAGCCATTTTTAAATGCTACACTTCAGAATAGCTGTAGTTTTCTAGGAGACTTCTGGTATTACAAATAATAACTCTGCAAACAAGAGGAACAGCAAGTTCAGAAAAATGCAAACATTTGAAAAAATACACAAAGCTGTTAAAGAAAAATCCAAGGCTTTTTTAAAAAAATAAAAAAGCATCCCAGTGGGCATGGAATACTAACCATGCTCCATGGGCATGGCTACTGAGCATGATATGATTATCAAAATCCAAGTAGGATGGACAAATAAAAGAAGCATCTTGATATAAGTCAAAGATGTATCTATAATGCTGGACAGAATCTCATTACGCTGCCCTTTCAGTTGCATGTCTCTCATCTCTGATATGCATAGATATGTGATATTATACAAATCATTCTTTGATGTTTTAATTTGTTACAAAGTATAGTTGTATTTAATTATAATTACATCTGAATTCTATATGTTTACCAGGTGTTGTCAATGTAACCTATACAACAATTTCAGAATTTCTTGGGGCATTGGCTGAACCAGGAGTTGATTATATACCTATATCAGGATCAGTTCTTTTGAAAGAAGGTGTAACAACAGCCACCATAAATATTACTATTCTAGAGGTAAATTGTAATTCTACTCAGTAAAGGGAAATAAAAGAGAGAGTTTGATTTTGATGAATGCAGGATTTAGGCCATAATTTCTAATGTTCATGGGAAAATTCTTTGCTCTATTGGTTGATGGAAAAATCCAAGAGGAACAGTTAATCACAAAAAGAGAACTTAGATTTATACAAGTGGAATAAATCTGTTTCATTACACTGGTTTCACTACCATGTGCCACATTTTATAATGTTTAAAATGAATAATGCATTGTTCCATATTTTTTTCTATTTCATTTCCTGATTACATTACTTGTAGTAAATCTTGTGGTTGGAAACAAGCCTGGCTAGTATTATATTATTTGAAAACTTGTAATATTTCATTTGACATGCATAACAGGAAAATTTTTAAGGCCTAGTAATTCCATTAGTACTGAGAATGGTAGTTACACATAGTACATAATAGATATTTTAAGTGCAAAGTTATGCTAATTTAGAAATAATTTTCAAGTGGACTATAACATGAGCATGTGTTGTGTTTTTGTTTTACAGGATGATATTCCAGAAATGCAAGAATATTTTTTTATTAATCTAACATCTGTGAAACTTGTCACATATCCTTTGACATCTTTTCCTCCCAGACTTGGTAGAAATATTACAACTTTCCTTCATGATTTCTTTATATCTCTCTATCAAATTTGTACATTTTTAAAATATTTTGTACCAATGTTAATACATATAAAAATATTTGTTATTCTCTTTAGCAAGCTTTCAAAATATGCTGTTCTAAAAAAATAAAACTAACAGAATAGACTTGTCAATGGCGGTTCATAAGTAAATTTAATTCGTCAAATTCACATAGAATAAGAATCTGTTTTTATTACTTACAATAGTAAATCTTGCTTGTTGTAGAGGAAGAGTGTGCTGATGCATGGTCCCACACTGCTGTTCTACAGTAGGAAAACTATTAAATCAACCAGTTGTTATTTATATTTAAAAATGGCATGTAAAGCATTAGCACATATCTCATTCATGTTTTCTACAAATATCAGGGTGATATAAACCCTTGGAAAAATAAGGAAAGAAAACCTCAAAATTTGCTTCAGGCCTCAAAATTGTAACTTAGAACTCCTCATCAACCTTAGGCTGGTATATTAGTTTTGGTTTTGTTCACCATTTCCAAGACATATCATATTTCCTGTTACTGGTGCTAAAACAATATATATTCTAATATTTTCAATTTGATCTTTATTTTGCATTTCTGTAGAACTGATTAGGTTAATTCACTACAAATTGAAAAATAAATAGAAAAAATGTGCCAATAGGTTTAAGATGTGTTTATGACTGATAGCACAGAGAATATTTAGGAATAGTTGGATTATATTAGAATAGTAAGTAATTATTCATTAATATTCTACTTTTTCTCAGGAGCATTTGGAGAGAATTATAGTAAATTAATATTATACATATATTAATACATAATTTATAATTTATACTTCTAAGCATTTATGTATAGATCTACAGTATTATATAAAAAATTTCTTGTTATTTTTAGATATGGATGGTTTAACAGCACAGATAATTATTGATACTAATGATGGAGCAAGAGGAGTAATAAGTTGGCAAAATACAAGGTAAGTTTAATTTTCAGTTCACTTGTTTCATTTTTTTCAATTGTTAGTTTGCTCAGCTGAAATCTTTCATGACATGAAAGTCATGAAAGGTCAGTCAAATTTAGGTCAGCTGAGTGGGAATGTAAGAAGGAGAGAAAGAAAAAACTCTTTTTTCTATTAAAGAATTTTTCAAATTTTTAGTCCATTCATGGGATAGTGGTTGTACTATCTTTCCTGGAGGCTTTACCAGCAATACAGTAACTCATTCCTTTATCACTCACATTTGGAGGACTACAGTTCATTCTATATAGAGTTGCTCTTAAAGATACAACTTGTGCATAATTCAGCCACCCCCACCCCCACCCCTTTGAATGGTAGAAGATGCTACAGCAGGATAATGCCAATCTAGTGTGAGCTTCATTAAGTACCTGTAGATTTTTTGGGTCCAATTCAAAGTGTTCCTTGTCACCTCTGAAATGCTTTGTAACTTAGATATTTCCTACTTCCAGGATAATGGCCCAAGTAGAATCCATCTGCTTGACACATGTAGACTGAGAAAGGATGCTGTAGATGACTGTACCTCAGAGATTAAAAGGGTGGGAGTCCAGATACAAGCTTTCTTGGTCATTACTCCCTCAGCCTCAACAGCTGTTCCTTTGAACTAAAATTACACCTTCCGTACTTAAATTTACTTATTGTCATTTTGAAAAGTAATAAAATATATTTTTTCCAGATTGCCTTTGCATATGGTAGATGATATGATTGTGGTAATGAATCAGGGATGCTATCTTGCTTTTGATAGATGCTTTTGCTTTTATTTTGGATGTTCATTTGTTTTAAGCCACCAAGAGCTATTTGATAAACTAGCCTATAAATATTTAAATAAAGAAATCATAGGTAACTTTTCTTTTTTTTCCCTTCAGGTTTGATGTAAATGAAGTAAATGTAAACTTAACATTAGTGATATTCCGGGACCGAGGATTGTATGGTAATGTGTCCTTATTCTTGTATGCTCAGAATCTGGAAGCATATCAGGGACTGGACTTTAATCTTTCTTCAAGGGTAAGAACAAACCATCATAGAAAACCATTTTTTTCCATAATATCAAATGGATGCTTTGTTTCAGGAAAAAGTGTAAGCAATTGTACCCTGAACATTAGAACTGTGGAAAGCTTCAAAGTTCATCCCATTTCTTCAGTAATAAGCTTTTCAATTAAAAAAAAAAAATCAGTGTGACACTTTGTTTATAAATACACTATGCACTTGCATATGTCTTTAAACTTCCAAAGAACAGTTATATGTTGGGATATGTAACTGTTTTATGTTTATTGCACATATTTTATCATTTTAAGATGACTTGTACTTTTTAAAATATTTCTGTAGATGCTTTGTAAAAGTCACAAAAATTCCATTTTTCTCTACATTTTTATGCATTGCTTTTCAGCATATTATTTAAACACATTTACAATATGTTTCATTATAGACTCTTTGTTTTGCTGATGGAGAAAGATATAAATATATTGAGGTTCAAATTTTTGATGATGAGATTCCTGAAAGAGATGAGAGATTCCAACTAATTTTAACAAATCCATCTCTTGGATTAGAATTGGGAGAAAATACAACAGGTAAAATTAATTAATTTGGAATTGGTATTTTGTTTTGTGGTTGCCTTGGATCTATTCTCAGTTACTCATGCCCAGGTCACCTCCAGAATAGATTACTATATGATAGCATGTTCTACATGTGTGCTCCTCAGTCAGAATAGGTAATACCTCTATTCTGTGAGCTGCACTATCCAGGTTCTATTCAAGGTACTGATGATGACCTATCAAGCTACCATGGCAATGTGCTAATTATTTGAGGGACCACCTTTCCCTGGTTACATCTACTCATCCAGTCAAGGCTGGCATGAGGTACATGAGGTCCTGTCCACAAAACACATCATCTGACAGGGCCCAGGAGGAGAGCCTTTTCTGTCACAGCACCTGCCCTTGAGAACATCATCCCCCGTCCCCGTCCCCCAAGGTTAGGCTGATCTTTCTGGCATTTTGGAAGGTTCTGTCCTTATGCCTGGAGACCAGTGGTGGTACTGAATCAATTAGCCAGCTGTATTGTTAGCGATTGTTGACTGCCCTCTCCTGTTAAAAATTTTAATTGTTTTATTTGGTTTTTAATGGTTTTATTTTGATTGTTTATTTCTAACTATTGTTTTCTATTTTTAAGTTTGTGAACCACTGAGAAACACATAGGTGAATTGAATGAATGAAAGCGTAAATGAATACGCCAACTTATTATTAATAACAGTGGATACTTGTGCATTATTCTTCATAGTCATAAGCAATTTACATAATTCCCTAAATTACTAATAGTTAGCAATGATTGGCTGGCAGTCTGCCATATTCTTTTCCAATTACCTATATTGTTGTGCAATTTTGGGGGGGTGAGCTGTGTTGCTAACAGGTTTCAGTTTTTTTCAGTATTGAAGTTAGGACAATATAACAGGACGATATGAAACCTTTTGACACTTTTAAAACATTCTTTTCACTTTATAGTTCTTAATGCAGAAAACTGTAGATTTCATGTTATTTAAACAAAAATAATGGGATCAGTAGAGTAAAATTTATTTATTTATTTATTAACATATTTATTATGAGAGTTTTTTCTTGTTTAATGTAGCTTTGAAATGCTGAATTTTAGTTAAGTTCTTCAGGACTATGTTTTTCAAACCTTGCAAAACAAAACTGGAGCACAAATTTTCCTTGTAGGTATTAGAGATAGAAGTCTTGATTTATTGTTATTATAATTATTTATAATCTATATAAACTTTATCTTCCACAAATTTATACTAAGAAAAATCTCAAATATATACTGTACCTGAATTTAGATACCAATATTGATAATAGTGTCATGTATTAAATTATATAGAAGTATTTCCTAATGAATGTATGTTACATATTAAGGTGATAATTTCTTTTATTATCTGTTCAAAGCGACAATTACTATTCTGGCCAATGATGACGGTCATGGAGTTTTGTCCTTCAACAATAGTGAACATTTTCTCCTAAGGGAACAGACAGCACTTCATCTAATGGAAAGTGTTGCAATACTGAATATTATCAGAGAACCTCCTCAAGGAATATTTGGAAAAGTGACTGTCCAATACATAGTGCAAGAGATAAATTCTTCTGAAGCATCAGTAGATTTGACTCCATCACAGGGTTATATTGTTCTAGAAGAGGGAATAAGAGTCAAGGTAACATACAACAAGTAGTTTCTACAAAATGTAAAAAAAAATATTGTTTATTTAAGAAATAAAATACATAAATTGGTTTACAGCAATAAACATATATTACATGTACATTGTACTACTTGCCTTAAGAAGTAATTTACAAATTGCACAGGATGATTGTATTGATTTGGATTGTAGGCAGAAGAGATTTAGATATTCAAATGTTTTGCCCTTTCAAAAACAAAGGTTTTTTAGCTGACATCGCAGTACATGTTTATTTGGAAATATTTATTTCAATATCAATTATTTTTGAAAATACATACATTTTATTGGACGTCTTATTTGGCAAGTTCTGATGAGTTACTACAAATAGATGGAAAATATGATATTTATGTGCTTCTGTTTCAGAATAATAGTGCTTATTAAGAATATTTGTAATTACTCATGAGTTGTGAAATTATTGTAGTGTTTCATTGTTGATTATAGTTGATACAAGATTTTGATACTTGATTTTAAATATAATATTTTAAAGAATAAAAAATTTATTTTAGGTTATAACATAATGTAAATTTCAATATGGGGTCCTTGGTGTTCTCTGAGCTTGGTTGTTTTTGTTGCAGACATTTCATTGCCCAACCTAGGTAACATCATCAGTGCATGATGATGTCATCTGGTTTGGGTAATGAAGCATCTACAAGAAAACAACCAAACTCAGAGAGCACCAAGGACCAATCATTTCAACCCTGAGCTACAAATATTCTTATTTATTGGTAAATTTCAATGCTTTTAAATACATATTTTCTCATTGTTCCATCAGTATATTGTGTCCAGTTTTTAACCAATTTTATCCTACTGTCTTTCACATGTTCTTCTTGTTCGTCCATTTCAAATTTCAATAAAAGTTTTAGTAATTTTAGGAATTACATTTTCATCATTTGTACATAGTTCATATTCTGCCTTTTGCTGCTCAGTTCCAAATGCCCTATTATCTACCTTACATCTTTCTCTTAACTATGCATATGAAAACCATTGAAAACTAAATCCCAATTGACAACTAAATCCCTATGCAGCCAATTGCTTTTTTGATTTCATTTTATATTCACTATGTTTTTGTTAAACAACTCTTGATAAGTTAACGATTTTTCTTTACCTGCTGTTTTTCCCCCTGATGTATTAATAAGTTAAAGGGATATACAAATAATAAATTAATGGAATGACCTGGATATTTTTTTTCTCATATTGGATTTACAAAAGAGGTTTGTGAAAGCTTTGAAAAAAATTGTGACAAAAAAATCAAAAGACATCAAGTTATTGGAAGTAATTTTTTTATATATTTATTTTTATTTTTTATTAGTTTTTATTTTTGTAATAAATTGTCCCCAACAATGACACTTTCTTCCATCCTAACATGTCCTTCTTGATTTCATTCCATGTCTTAATGTAATTATACTGGTATCCAAGATTTTGATACTAATATATTGCTTTTTATTCAGAATCTGCATATTAGTGCCATCCTGGATACTGAACCAGAAATGGATGAACATTTCATCGTTACACTGTTCAATCCAACTGGTGGAGCCAGATTGGGTGCAAGAACAGAAACACTGATCACAGTGTTGCAAAATCAAGCCCCTTTGGGACTTTTCAATATCTTTCCAGTTACAGAAAGGTAAATTTTGTGTTAGGTCAGAAATTAATTTGATATATATAAAAGTTAATGTACTTCAGTCTTCTTAAATTTCTTGATATTTATATTATAACACAGAAAAAGGCAAATGTCAGAATTACAGATATCAGAAAAATGTCATAAAGAAGATAAATAGCAACCAAAAATGTTGATAGTAATTTTTTCATTGCTTATTATCAATATATTTTAATGGGAGAGAGTATACAAATATTTTAAATACATACATTAAATAATAGTTATACATTTAAATGCTTCTATATATTGACCATCTTTTCCTTAACAGTAGGCATTTGGAGATTTCATTAATATTTTCTAGCTTCAGTTTTATTCCTGGTCTAATCTGTTTTATTGTTGATGGAATATGGTGCTGTGCCAGTTCTATTAAAATAAATCTGTGTACTTCTCTGTTTTGCTTTCCTTGGATCCCATGGGAAAGATAAGCAGCCCAAACTAGAAATGTGCAAAACCATTCTGAAGGTTGCCTTGTGCTGCAAACAAAGCAAAGTACTTCTCAAGAGTGCTGAAATGCCAGGTCTTCTAAATGGCTTAACTGATTTTGAGGCTCCCACTTGAACTGACTCTGTATGAATGCACAGGGTAACATAGCTTTTAGGATGACATAATCAGTACAGGGACAGTCCTGGAAGAACTATCTGGGCACATGCATGGCCAGAGACAAAGTTGTGAGGCCCTTGAATTGGCCTGCCTCCATCAGTGCTCCACTCAGTTGACAAAACACTCTCCAGATGTTTTTGCACAATCTGTTCCGCATTCACCCAAGCCAGTGACATTTATTTCTAAGTAAATATGTACAGTGGTATCTTTTGAATAGACCATTAAAATTTTAAAGAACCACAGGTTGCATTTCTAAATATGTTGTTCTGATTTATAGAATATTTACATTATCTACTCTATTATGAAAATGTCTGCTATTTTAATATCAGAATATGTTAGATTTTACATGTGCTGAAAAATAGCTTATTTACAATCAGTATGCCAATAGAACATCTTCCTTGTATGTTTATTTTATCATTTACCTAGTTGTATAGCACTTAGAGAAATGAATCTGAAAAAGGATCACTATTTATATACTTTGTTAAATCTTCCATAATTCTTAGGACAAATTCTGTTATAGTTGAGGAAGCAAACACTACAGTTTATTTGAAAATATCTCGGAGCAATGGACTCAATACATCAGTGAGTGTGGAATGGGAAACACGTCCTGATTCTGCATTTGGGATAAGTAAGTCAATTCATGGGTTTTGGTAGGTTATAGAGGATAGCTTTTTATAACTCATGTATTGTAACTTGGTCTATTCAATCACAGAGAACTAATGCCCCTTCCATAGACAATGACTGTATCCATCCAAGGTTGGCTTTGTGCCTTTTTGTGCCTTATATATGTTTTGGGATTCTGTGTTGATCTCATAGCATCCCAAAACATATATAAGCCTTGGAAGCCACTGGGTTAGCTTTCCCTCTAGAAAAAAATCCAAGAAGTCTGTGCTGTTTTCCCCCCTCTTGTGCTGTAAATCAAGCAGTTTCCCATTGGAAGTGTCCATTTGGTTCCCTTAATTTCGTTTTACCTGATCCCTTTCTTCTCCATAATGTGACTTCTTAAGGGTTTTTTTCTTTCCTTCCTTTTTTTTGTAGTTACAATATGATCAGGGAAGAACAAGGATAGGTGCCAGTTGTTTCTTGTTTTGGTATTCTCCCTATGGACAACTGGAGTAAAATTTTCAATGGGAAGGTACAGCAGTAAGAAGCTAGTGGTTTTGTAGGATTGTCCTGAATTGTTCCCAAGGTTCTGGAATGGTTTGATAAGCAGCTGCCTATAGACTTGATCCTATTTGCCCCTTTTCTTCTCGGTAATGCAATTTTAACAGCTCATGGTCATTTGGGATGAAGCCATTGGTCAGCTATCAATATACACTTTCTTTGTTTTATGCCAATATGTGTTGTTAATAGCATTCATTTTCTTTTAACTGCAGAGGGTGGGTTAACTGTACTTGCCGTTTTACAAAGTTTTGAGGAAGAATCAATATCTAGCTGGTGTTTCTTTATGGAAGGAGACTTTTTATATGGTTTATTGTTGAGAACAAAGCCAGCTGCAAAGTCTTCAATATATCAGTGGCGTGGAGTTTTTGTTCCTGTTGAGGTAAATACTGTAAAAAATTAAACTGATATCTAAGAATATTGGATTGTTACTTTGACCCACAATGTACAAATTGAACCCTTTTTCATACCTTCTCCCTGCCTTGTTTCACGCTATGTGATACACAGATAGACCTTGTTTAAAAGCCACAATTGGAACCAGCAATTCAGTTATTAGGTGAAATGGTTGCTAATTGAAACCATGGCCATGTTTATGCTCTTCAGCTTTCCTTTGCTTTACAGACTTGCTTTACACTTGCAAATGTGAGGGTTGATTGTAAAGTTATTTTTTCATCACCATCATAACTTTGAACAGTTGCTAATTGAGGAATCACTAAAGGAGGGCTACCTATAAATCTCATTTCAATAGAGAGAAATGTTAAAAAAATATTTTGTCTTAAAATAATTCATGGATTTTATTAATTGAATAGTAAAAAAAAGCTATTGATTTTACTTTTTTGCTTAGGAATTCAGTATTGAGAATCCTCAACATTGTATTGCATTTCAAATCAATGGTTCCTCCTATTTAATAATTACTCATGGTGGAATAAAAGAACATAGACCTTCTAACAACACTGTGTTCTTGTTTACCTCTGGATTTCAGCTGCTAGAGGTAATATTGTTTCATTATCCAAACTTCCTTTCAACTTTTTTACAACTCACATACTTGAATTGAAAATTCTTCTCCCTGATAATATCAAAGATAGCAATATCAGAAAAATTATAAATACTTGTTTGCAAACCGTAGTTCAGTATGCATGAGTTGAGCATCTGTTTGAGGGAAGCTAAATACCTTTTGTGCACAATTAACTGAATGCTAGAATTTCTTCAAAAAAATATAAGATGAATTTAGTCCTAGGGGAAAAATAACCTTGTTCTGCAAAAACTTCCAAAAAGTACAAATATTTTCTCAGTCTGGAGTGGCAATAGTGTAACAAAGTTATTTCAATCTTAGAACCAGTGAGTAGGTTTAGTGAAAAGCCAGAAGGCAGAAGACCTAAAGTGTTCTCACTAATTAGTTTCAGAAAAACTGTAGAAATATGCCTGAGGTTCGCTCTGCAAAACCCAACCTTAGATAGCATTCTAAAGTGTGAAAAAACACTTTAGAATGCTATCTAGAAATAATAAACAAAAAGACTAAAGTGTTAAGTATGCTTGTGAATTTGACAGTAAGATGAGGAATGAATGTGACAGTGGAAATAACAAGAGGGGGATTAGATATTTAAGTGATTGAGAATTTATTTATTATACTTCATCTTTCATAACCACCCATCTCCTTCAGAGTTGGAATTCATTTTCAGATAAGCCAGTGCTATATAAAAATACAGAGTGCATTTTAATCATGATGGCATCAGACTAGTCTTGTGTAATATCGAAAGTATCACAGAACAGCTTTTAAAGTAATTCCAAGGGAAAAGACAAAGGATGCAAGGAACCTAATTTTTGGAAGAATCAGGCGACAAGAATGAATATTTTTATAACTGTTCAGAGGGGGGATATATACTTGTGGGAAATGAATATAGTCAGTCAAAAAAGACCACAAGATCACAAAAATAAAGCTCCAAGTCATAGAAAACCTAAGAGCAAGAGAAATTGTGTATTGATGATGCTCAGTGTGAGGCANGTGAGGCATAAAGTTAGCAAGGCAGGAAATAAGGAACCAGGCCAGGTATCATCAACAGACCAGCATGGGAAGCTGGAAGTGCAAGAAAACAAAAGGGCAGTACAAATTAATTTAGAACTTAAATCTTCAGACATAAGATTCTATACCTAGATTTTTAAACCATGTCCTCATAAACACGTAATTGGGATACTTTCATCATCATCGAGTCAGCTTGATATCCATCATAAATCACTTAACTATCCAAGATTCATTCGTAAATGTTATGTAAGTTACGGATTATGTCTATTATCTCGGAGATTAATTACCATTCCTATAATGCAGCTCCTAACACTTATAAGGAAATACTAAAAAGCTCAGAGACAAATTTGGAAGTTATAGTGCTCGATGTTAAGATGTTCATTTTATTTACATAATTTTGCCATAAGCTGCATTGCTATAATAAAACAAGTGAAATATATTTTAAAGGTTGTATTAGATACATGTTATTGTATTTCCTTTTCTTTCTTTCAGGTACAGTCTATAGTGGTGCCAGCCACCAGTGATATAAAATATTTCAATTTGAACCAAAGCCATTATTTGATTATTGCAAGTTGTAGACCAGAATCCAAGTCTACCCAGGTTAGGAGTATCTTCATTTTATTTCCTGTACTGGCCTTGTTTGTATATTCACCTAGTAACATATTATCTAGTAACATGTTCAGAATCTACACAGGCTTGTGAATTCTTTAAGGGTATGCATACAAATCAGGCAGCAAATTCAGACGTATATATTTGAATCATATGATCACCGGAAATATTTGAAATTTAGACTTTTTTCTACTGTTATGTTTCTATTGCACATTAATAAATGCAACTTGAATACCACCTACATAAATATGTACCTGGCTGTTTCTACATCCTTCTTCAGGATGTGTGTTTGCATTCATATCTGCAAATTACTGTTTTGTGTTCAAAATGATGATTACTGATTAATCAGCTGAAGTGATAAGCAATTATTGGTAAGAAACCTTTCTCAGTTGGAGCTCTGCTTTAAATATGTTCCTAACCTGCAATGCTTCTTATTACTCTGGCTGACCATACATCCCATTTCTGGATGGATCTTGCACTTGATGCCCACATTATTGAGTACCATATCTATATTACAGCATATAAAGCTTTAATTCAAGTTCCAATTCCCCTGTGACAATGAAGACTCCAAACCTTTCTACCATTCTGCATACAATATGCCTCTCTCCAGTGGTGATGCTTCCTCTTCAGCAAGATCTATCCAGTTAATACTCAAATGTGCAAAGTAAAATACATGGCTGTCAATGTAAGCTCTTCAAGATTGTTGTAGAACTTGAGGAGAGAAGTCACATAGTGATGTCAATGGTGATGTTTTATGGACTAGAAAGGAAACAAAAGAGTTTATTATCTTAGCACATATACATGTTGCATAAGTTTCAGGAAAAAGTGCTTTTCAGCCTGGATTATTTTGAAAAACTTCAGTCAATCAATTAATCAATTATATTTACAGATAAAAGGCCGCAATGTTAACACCTTCAGAATTATCTTTGTTTTTGAGGTGCAATAAAAATTCTGGTGGTGTTAATGGTGCTCTTGTTGTCATGCATCAGAAGCAGCTCAGAACTGCTCTCCTCCATAACCTCCTGCATGCTGTTGACATTGCTGCTCTGGCTGCCCATGCTCACAAACATGCTGGGCATTGAATGATTGCTGCCCAGACTGTCCATCTTCCTAGTCAGGTTTGTCCCATGCTCACTGTCCTCTTCCTCTTCCTGAGAATCATTCAGAGGGCCATTGTGGACCTACTGGAAAAGGATTTTTTTTCATTTTCTGATACTGAAGGTTATCCAACTCTCGGACCACATCCTGGGTTCTCTGAATTAAGTCTATGGGGAATCAGTGTGGACGTTCACATCGTACAAATTATGCCTCAAAAGTTCTGATGATAATGGACGCTCCTGAGGTATTTTCTGCAGCAGTAATCAACAAATCTTTTAAAACAGTCTGTCCACTCATTTGACTGTAGCATGGGGAATCATTCTGGGCTATGTAATATAAGGCACTCATAGCATTCATATTAAAGAGAGGAGGTTTCCACTCCACTAACTCGATGCAGGTAATTCCAAGAGACCCACATCGACCTTCCCGTCATACTGTCCATCATCCATAGCCAAGATTACTTCCGGAGCCATCCAGTAATGGGTTCCCACGAAAGAATTGGCAGGAGAGGCTATAGACGCAGATTCGAAGTCCGCAAGTTTCACTTCACCCGGTTCCGTTAGGAGAATATTTCCTGCCTTAATATCCCTGTGAATTTTATAATGTGAATGAAGATATACCAGTCCTTGCAAGGCACCATCAATAATGGCAGCAATCTCTACTTCCTGAAGCGGCTTTTTATGTACTTCCAACAGATCTGAAGCGGATCCCAGGCAGTATTCCATCACTAGCCAGGCAGTATGTTCTTTCAAATAGCATCCTTTATATTCTATGGTGTTCGGGTGCTTCAGCTGTTGCAAAAACCTGACTTCTTTGATAATATCCTGCCATTTCTCATTAGTTTGTTTTCCACTGTAAGGCATCTTCTTGATTGCCACCACTTTGTTAGTGCGGGCATTGGTGGCAAAATAAACTGCCCCAAAACTCCCATGTCCAATTTCATGTAAACCCACAAACAGCTCCTGAGGATCATTTTTGTAGAAGAGCTTGGTGATGTCAGGGTCCTTCGGCACCCCTTTCAGCATGTTGGAGAAAATTATGACCTCGCCCCCACTTCAAAATACAAGATGGCTTCTTCCTTCATTGATGATGGGATTTCCAGATGGTTTCAGAACAATGGAAGAATGGTTGCTGAAGATGATAGAACTGGCAGGGATGACAAAAATTGACTTGATTAGAGAAAGACCAACAACTTCATTTAACAGGGACTGGAAACCTCTTATGGACTGCTGGACAATTATGGCATTAACCATAGTCTATGGCTCAAATGCATTTTGACAAAACATGATTTTTCTTTTGGAGTTCCTGTTGGCTCTCTGTTTGCTGATTTTCTGACCCATCTGCGGCTGTGAAAAGTTCCTGGCCAGCTTCAAGTGAGCCCTGCCGCTGTCCGCGCCAGAAACACAGCTGCTCGCTCGCCAGGCGCACCAATGTTCTTGAGCTTACTTTTCAGCTGAAGGTAATTGAGAATTCTGTTGCTCCTAACAGCCCTGTTTTCCTTTTCTGAAAAAAGACCCATGGTGAGAGGTCCCTTGGGATATGTTCTTTTCAAATTTAACTGGTCTGTAAGCTTGCAGACTGCCAGAGATAATGATATAATGTAAAACAAAGCATTCACACACTTACCTTGACCAACCCAGTAATGTAATAGGTGTAGGAGTGTCAATAGCAATTTTATTAAAAAATATGATGATCATCTTTTCCTTCAAAAGGAATTTTTTTTAAAGAGAATTATGTAAAATTACTACTACTACTACTACTTTTGCTCTTCCTATGAATAATTCCTATGGCTGTTTATTTACTGTATATATATAAAATGAACAAGAAATATATTCTAGTTTTTCATATTCCATACCAGGTATCATATTTAGGACAAAAGATATTTTAACATATTTGATTTCTTCCAATTTTAGTTATAATTAGAGCTCTTTTGCATTTTACAGATTTTCCACTGGAATAATGGCATCTTCATATTCCATAATCAACTCTCTGTGAATGGAGTTTTGAGTCTGGATCTTTTCCCTAGGGGAAGTACAACTTACCTAGTCATTGTCCCTTGTGAATCCACACATACACCTCTTTTATTCAAGTGGTCAGATAATGATTTTATAAGGTTTCAAGAAGTGCCAATCAATGGAATAACACAAGTCCAAGCTATCATTTCTGGATCTGACGTCTACCTAATTTTTGCAAAAGGTACTCATATTTGATAGAATTACATTAAGTGTGGAAACTGAAGCAAGAAAAAACCTTTAATGATTTTTATAATTAAAAAGTTACTTTGTTTAATGATGATCTATTGATATATACTTACTATATAACATTGTAAAAAGGCCAACTATGTAAAATTGATAATATATACTGGGGGGATTGTGCTAGTTGTTTTTTCCTTTTATTTCATAATTAGTCAATAGTTTTTTCTGATATTACGGACATAAGAGAAAATCATTTATAATGAATAAATAAAGGAAACACAGTTCTAGTTCTATCATCCATAGTGTTTCCTAAAATGAACTATTTTATTAGATGTTATTATTTATTGATTATTACATTAATTATAAATACCCATATTCATAGAAAGCTGTCTGATTTTACTCTCCATAGAGCTCAACAGTACATGTGAAATTTTTGTCTGGGAGACAGGGCAATTTTCCTTCAGATATTTTCAGTCCATTTCCGTCAGAGCAGTAAATGCAATCCATACTTTTTCCCCACCTTCTGGTTTAGGTAAGTATGATAATTATCTTTAACACTGCATTAATTCACACATGATTCTCCCCCCCCCCCTTTCCCAAGATATAATTTTCCTGTAGAAGAAATCACTGTATATACACCATCATTCTTACAACCCAAGCTTCCTGGGAGATAGCAAATAAACTTCAGAACAGTTTTCAACATGTATCTGAATCATAGGTTCATAACTGCAGATTTATAGTAGACGAAATTACTTATTTTTGCCACAGCAAAATTACGAACCTTTGCAGCCTCAGGAATGTCTTGGGCTTGCTAGGGGAATAAAGATTTTTGTGGCTGACTGGCAGACAAAATTAGAACATGCTGCAAAGTGCAAACATTTCTTCCCTCCTTTAGGAACGCTTTGCACAGCTGCTTGCACAAGTCGTTCCCTGATTGTCTAAATGTGGCTGTGCACACACAATCATTTTGCTATATTTGTGATAGCAGCAAAAGTGTTGTCTAGATGTATACATACTCATGAATATGAATGTTGTAAGCAATGCTGAGCTTCCAGAGGACATGGTTGCTTCAAAGACCGATATTTATTCATTTCAGTGCCCTTTGCAGAGCACCCTTTTAAGCACTTTGTACATCTTTAAAACAGAAGTACTAAGTAAATGCAAAATGCAGCTTGAACAAAATAATTTTTTTAAAAAAAAATAGCATAAAATTTTAACATTTTTCTCTAACCTTCTTATCTTCTTTGATTTTTAATGCAGTGCATGTGCTGTTTGCTAGCAAAGATAAATCAGATCTGTATTCCTGGAACTCCAAAATGAATCGGTTTTCTCCAATGCTAGAAGCTCCTTCTGCCAATCATATTTCCAGTTTCAATGTAAAGTCTCTTAATTCTAACAAAAGTTTCATTGTTATGACTGGAGATTCCTATTCCTATGTTTACGAGCTAACTGCAATTTCAAATCAATCAGATTTTATACCTAGGTATGATTTCATTTTTTACATTGACTATGAATGCATTATTACTTTTGTTAGTTACAGTTTATAAAACGTTACAGCCATCATACTATTGTTTTTTCTTTTTGCTGTAAAGATTTGAGTTCCTAATATAATTCCTTCCATGTTCTGAATCTTTCACTTTCTAGTGAAAATTCTACAGTGAGAAAGTGATAGTCAAATCAACAACTAAAGTCACCATCTTGGAATTGTTCAGAAATACAGGAAGGAGTACTGTCAAAGATTATAAACAAAAAATGACCAAATTAAAGAATATAGTAGCCCGGAAAGCTGATAAAAGTCTGCTGGCTAGTTTTTGATTGATTGATTGATTGATTGATTGATTGATTGATTGATGAGAAATATTTCCTTTGGGATAAAACCGGATAAAGTCTAAAAACAATGAGATTGGTCTAATCTAAATGGAATGCAGTATATGTTACTTGTTTAAAATATGTATTAGGTGATCTACCTGAAAATGAAATAGCCTGCTAGAGTAATACGGAGACAGAGAGCTTCCACTCCGCAACTGCTCCATGATAGTATATTCAAAATCTGCTTCAGTGTGTAGAATGATATTCCAAAACAGACTATAAAAACTTCAGGATTTTACAGATAGAATAGAATAGAATAGAATAGAATAGAATAGAATAGAATAGAATAGAAGGGACCTTGGAGGTCTTCTAGTCTAGCCCCCTGCTCAAGCAGGAGAACCTATATCATCTCAGACAGGCGAATGTCTAGTCTTTTCTTAAAAATCTCCACTGATTATTATTATTAGTCTATATAAACATAAGTCTACTTGCTTATTTTTGAATTGGCCTCATATGTTTCCTGTAACACTTAAGTAAATAGCAACAACAAATTAATAACTGATAGAAACTTTCTTTAAAGTGCCTAAAATATATTTTTTTCTATATCAAAACTGATTTTACTTTGTCTCAGAAGAACAATCGTTTAATTATAAATATGCTGTACATCTGTGTTTTTATGCTAGTTCAGATGAACTGATATTTGAACCAGGAGATGAAGAAATTGTGATAGCAATCAATATTTTTGATGACACAGTCCCAGAGGAAGAAGAATCTTTTAGAGTATGGCTGAAAAATCCAAAAGGTGGTGCAGAAATAGGTCCTAATGGTTATGTGACCATAGTGATACCCTCTAATGATGATGCTCATGGAGTTGTTGCATTTGCCCAGGTAAAATTGAAATATTAAATTAAGTATGCTTAATAATAGGCTCCTGTTAGCATACAGTATATGGAATGTATTCATATTTATAATATTGTAAAACACAACACTGGAATCATAAATAGCTGTCTTAGTAACATATCTCATCATATTATTCATTCATCTTTGGATAACCAGATGGATGGATGGTTTATAAAAGTAACAATAAATAAAAATAAAATAATTAAAAATGCATGGGAACCTGCAATTCCCTCATGTAATATTGGTTTTATTGTGAATTCTATTGTGATGGCTTATAAAATTAAGAAAATGTATTATTTTACTAATCAGATTTATATCCAAGCTTCCCAAAGGCAATTTAGTAGTTTACACTGATGACAATATATAATAATACTGCATGGTTAAGTTAGTCTGAGAGATCACTGGTTCAAGAATACCTGAATCCAAGGTCTTAAATCCAAGTCCAGTAATCTATTTGCTACCACATAATGGTGTCATGATGGGTGTGAAAATCTTTATAAAAACTGGTCTAACTTATTTTTTAAGTGGTTTATTTCTATTGAGAAATTAAATATAGGGAACTCAGTTTCTTCACTAGCCCCATTTCAGTCATACTAATTTTCTCTGCTGTAGAAGGTTGTCAAAATGGGAACCAACATTTCTCAGACCAGATAGAACTTTTAAGTAAATATTGATAAGAAATTTCCCAATCTTAAGGCTGGGAAAATTTTAATAGAGATAGGCAGCTGGGGTTAATTTCACAATTTTGCAGTAGGTAGATCTGTATGCATATGGAGAAAGGAAAAAAAAGTACTATCTATTGTGGAATAGATCACATCTTTGTAAGTGGATTTCTGAGTATGGGTTAAATGTCTGAGGAGTAAAGAGATATTGCTATGCCTAAAGTAAAGCTTTACTACTTCTGCTAAAGTAAAATCTGAGTGTCACACCTTTTCAGTTTAAATTATGATTTTAGCTATTTTATACATTTTTGAATATATGTCTATTCCTTTTTTGTTAGTGTTTAAAAAGCAGAAAAACCAAGATATATGCATGTTAAACTATGTATTATTTTTCATCATTGGTATATTTTTAGAATTCTTTATTTAAACAAGTAGAAGAAATGGAACAGGATACCTTGATCACCTTGAACATTGAGCGCTTAATAAGTACATTTGGACAAGTTATAGTACACTGGGAAGCTAGCGGGAGTATTCATGACATATTTCCAACTTCAGGAGTGGTATGTATTTTGCCAAAATTTTAGCTATAAAAACAGCAAGTTGTTTAATTGCTAATGTATTACTGATCTAATAAGAATCAAATTGGCTAATATTAATTTAAAAGTTTTCTTCCCTCAAATTGTCTAATTTCTTGATCTAAAAATTCAAAATCATTTTGACTTATGGAAAGAAACATTTCTTTCTTGCTTTTCATGTGGCATTCTTCATGGTCCTTAGATAACTTTTTATCTAATTATCTAATTTTCTTAAACAAAAAGAAAAAATGAAATTAAGAAAATTAAAATGTAAAACAAACTAGTATTTTTTTTATCATAATCATGATAGTAATGTTGTTTAATATTCTTAAATCAATGCAATAAGGCTGTTAAGCTAACTATATGGTCGTTAAGTGAACCCATTCTCCTGAATGGGTGTCTTTTGTCAGAAAATGGCAAAAAACATCTAAACTGATTGTAAATGCAAGCCAGTTATCAAGCACCCAAAATGCAATCATGTGACCACAAGGAGGGTGCACCAGTTGCAAATTCAAGGATAGGTCTTGAGTAGCTTTTGGGGGGTTAGTTGTAATTTTGTATGGTCACTAAGCGAGGTTGTATATACATTTTGAATTTCCTTTAGTTGAAGAAAGGGCTTTCTGTGTGATGTCACTTCAGTCTTTCCTAGGGAAAGAAAGTTGTGTTATACACTATTTTTTAGAAAACCAGTATCAATACCATATTTGATGGAATAAATAAAATATAAATTTATGCATACTGATACAAAACACTTCAGTGTGACATTGCTACATAAATATTGCTACATAAAACAATGCTGTTTATGAGTACCTGCAGGAAACTCTATTGCATATAATTGCACTTATTTCTTTATAAGCATCATGGATTGATTGTATAGAAAATGTGCTGAAGTGGATCAAATTTAATAAATCCAAAATTGAGTGCCACTCAGATAATACAAATTATACAATAGGACTTTCTTATTTGTGTACACTCAATGAAAATTCACTCATGAGTAGGAACACACCTTTTGAACAATATGAGATTGGGTATAAAATGGCAAGGGATGACTTTTTAGGAAATACCCAGATTTATTTTCTAAACTGAAAATTTCAGTATTCTGTTAGGATGAAGAGGTTGTGTTTACTTTAGAAAAAAAATCTAAAGTCTCATAAAGGTCCACTTATAAGTACTCAAGGTTATAGAGAGTTGCCATTGCAAAGGATTATTGCAGGAAAAAGGTGTGTTTTTTATTCTAAGTTTATGCAACTTAGAATTCTAATACAAAAAGCAAAATAAACTTTGTTAGACACAAGAAAAATCCAAAGTCATATTAGCATACCCTTCCCTTCCAACAATATTAAGTTTCTATATGGTAAACATGGCAAAAGATGTATATTTAAGCCATGGAATTTGCAATAATCTTAATAGGAAATACAGGAATAAACTGCAGATATTAAAATCTCCTCTTCCTAAAATTGGGTGAGATATACCTGATATTTCAACTTGCTTCGATCTGCTTTCTTCAAAATATGTAGGACTACAATAGGAGTTACAGTCAATGGTGGGATTCAAATATGTAAACAACCGGTTCTCTGTGTGGATGCCGCTTCTGGAAGTCCATTCTGGGCCTGGGCAACAAAAATTAGCTACTGGTTCTGCCAAAGTGGTGCGAACTGGCTAAATCCCACCACTGGTTACAGTCCAGCCTCCCTGCAAGATTTTATTTTGTACCATAGGTAAACAGAATAAACATTGAAAAGAAAACAGGCATTACCAATTGAATTATTGGTTACAATTTGTATATTTTCCAGTAGTACAAAAGTATCTTAGATATGCATTGTTTGTTTGTTTATTTATTTATAAAATGTATTGGTCGCCCATCTTACCCCAGGGTAATTCTGGGGGCTTACAATATTATTTATTTATATTTCACTATTATATTGCAGGTAGTTGAATAAGTAAAGATAATTATCTAACTAGAAAAAAGTAATCATACCATTTAAGTAATATTGATATGGCAATTTGATTAAGATAATTTGAACAAACGTTTCCTTTAACTGGTACAAAAATTTCTAACTTTCATTGGATTGCATCTTAAACTGTTGTTTTAAGCCAACAGTTATGTGAAAAATATAAAGTTGTATATTTTCTTGTTAAATTCTTTAGGTGGCATTTTCAGAGGGTCAGGCTTTGTCAACAGTAACTTTAACAGTCCTTGCAGATGTTATTCCTGAAGCTTCAGAGACACTGATTATAACTCTCACTCATATTAGCACCGTGGGCATTCAAGACCCCCAGAGAGGAGCCATAATTGATAGAAGTCGAGCAAAAGCTATGCTTACTATTCTTCCCAATGACACTCCCCTCGATGTAGTGGGATGGCACACAGATTCTCTCTTTAACAAAGTAGCAGAGCCTGAAGGTGAGTCAGTTTGTAAGAAAATCCTAGAAAAATTCAAATATATATTTCCAGATCTTTTTTTTAAAAAAAAAAAGGTCTTCTGATATACAATGTTGCAGTTACATCTATACATTTTTAAAGAAAACATTTCTGAATATAGTTTCAAACATTTTTTTTTAATCTGGGGGGACCAATATAATATGTAGAATGTAATATATGATTAGCAAGAAATATGAGTTATATTTTTGTATTTTAAGTGAGACATTTCACTGATTTTTTTAAAACTGTTAGAAATGTTTGAAAAAACTATGTTTGGAAAAGTGTGCTTACCATTTTTTAATGCCCTAATTTTTATCATAACACAATATTTTTCTCCATCTCAGGGAAAATGCAATTTATGGAAGTAATATGAGTTATTACTATTAGGAAGTTTATTGGCTATAATCATATTAGTTTTGGTTGGAAAAAACAAACTCTTTCAATTAGTATATATATTCATTAACTTTAATATTATTTTTCCTAGGGAGATCAACTACTATTACTTTACATATTTTCAGAGAACAACCATTTGTTGGTGATATTAATATACACATAATATCCCACCCTATCTTTTCACTCCCTCTTGTTAATCAAGCCATTGAAAATGAAGATTATAGATTGGAAAACAAGACAATTATTATGACAGAGAATATAACATTAATTTCAGTTAATGTAACCATTTTACCAGTGAGTATTTGAAAGTATATAAATAGTTTGTAGCAAACTGATATGTGAATGACATATGAAAAGTGAAAATATTTTTCTGATTAATATTTCTGCATAAAAGTAAGATAGTACTCAATAATTTAATGTTATCATTCCCTTGAACTAATTATATTCCCTATATTTAAAGCCTATTTTTTCACTCTTTCAACTTTACACTATATTTTACACTTTAAATGATATTTATGCTAGTCAAAAATTCCCAAGTTGACTAATGTTTGAATATTATTTGTGTGTGAGAACAAGTCCAGATATCTCTATGTACTTTATGATTGATTGATTAACAAATCAGTTAATAAATAGAAAACTTTGTAATCTCAACAACTAGATTTTATCTACATGTTCTCTGAGTGAATGGTATGTAGTATTCTACCGTATTTATGATATACTACTACTAATAATAATTTATTAAATTTATGAACACCAGTCTGATGTAGTGATTAAGACATCAGGCTAGAAAAAAGAGACTATGAACTTTGGGGTGTGAAGCCACCTCAGTGACCTTGGGCCAATCATTGCTCAGCCCTAGGAAGAAGGCATTGGCAAATCACTTCTGAAAAACCTTTCAATACAATTGAACAGAAGAAAAATAAATTCACATATTGCCCAACTTCCAATGACTCTAGTTTCTATTAAAACATTCCATGTTTATTTTCTAATGCTACAATTGTGTATAATCTCTGATGCATCTTACCTGGATAGATTTTCCTCATTTTTGTGAAGGCAAGTTGTTTCCAATCTAGCATACCATGGCATTTCTCTACAAGCCATATTATCTCTTGGGCCAGACAACATTTTAATTAAACTCAAACAGAACATTTGAATTTAGTTTTACAAAGTGACAGGGCCAAAAACATTTATTCCTATTATGGTGCAATTGCAGGTTTGTTGGGACAGGTAGATATAGCCCAGGAAAGGCTGTCCTTCAGACAATCTGACCCCATTAATTTAACCTTAAATTAATGAATTTAATTTAATTTATCTTTAACTTTTCCTTAAATTGATTAGGTAATCAGATATATTCAGAAGAACAGTTTTTGACACAATGAAATTATATTTTCAGTAAAGAAAATATAATTTTTAACAATCATTTGTTTTTATATAATTAATTTTCTTTATATTATTATATTATATTATTCTTCATATTTCTTTATACTATGCTTGATCCTCCATATTTTTACTTTCCATTGAAGCAATCATAACTTGAAATGATTTATCTTACTAGTCTATCCAAAATCTGAATTTGCAAAATAATTTAAAACATTTTTTATCTTACAGGATAATATTCCAGAATTACAAGAGGGGTTTTTAATCAATATCAGTAGTGTGCAATTATTGGACTCTTCTCTTACTAGAGGGCAACAGAGTATGAAGAAATTTGGTTTAGAAATAGCTGAGATTTTAATTGAAGAGAATGATAACCCCAGAGGAATATTTCAGTTCAATATTAGCAAGGTGAGAACAAACTGAAACATCTCAGTAGCAAAAGCAGTAGATACTGTTCTTGTTCTAAGCTGACCATTTCAAGGTATGTAGATAATAATACATAGGTTAATAACATGAGATTATAAATCTTTTACCCGTGTTTAATACTCCTATTGCTATTGGGTTTTTCTATGATATAATGAAGCCAAGTGGTCCATAATTATAATTTTTCCTATTTATCTTAACCTGAATATGACAGGATTAGTTGGCAAAGACTTGCTAAGCATCTATTGATCCTTACCATTGAATCTTATTCATTCAATCAATTTCATTACAATCTGGTGACTTTCAGCAGCTTACATATATAAAACATGCTATGTAATATGACAAAATAATTAAATATTATTCCCACAAGATCTGGGAAGTTGGGCACTAGATTCTATTTAGAATAGGTATTTCTTCAGGTAGTCAGATGCCAAACCATAAAGGGCTTTATTGGTCAAAACCAGCATGTTAATTTATACCTAAAAAATCAGTTGTCGCTCAGTTTAGGCCTGTAAATTCCATATTAGTTTCCAGCATTGAAAGCCAGTGAATATGCATTCTGAATTATTTGTAATTTCTAAGTAATCTTTATGGGCTGTCCAACCAATAACAATAACAATAATTGAGTTGGGAGGGACCTTGGAGGTCTTCTAGTCCAATCCCCTGATCAGGCAGGAAACCCTATACAATTTCAGACAAATGGCTGTCCAGTCTCTTCTTAAAAACTTCCAGTGTTTGAGCATTCACAACTTCTGGAGGCAGATTGTTCCACTGATTAATTGTTCTGACTGTCAGGAAATTTGTCCTTTGTATGTTGTAGTAGCCTGTTACAGAGGTAATAAGGGTTGAGCTTTAGCCTACCAGGTAAGGGCACAAGTGGAACATTACTTGAAGCTGGGTGAAGACATTTCTACTTGCTGTTCTACTTCCAAGCAGGGGCTATGAGTGTAGATGGACCCCAATTATGAATCTTGTTCCTTCACCATGCTTGTGAGATACAGAAGTAGCACTGGTGTTGATAGAGAATCTTAATGTACAAACCGTAGTTACATCTTTCTTAGATTCAACTTCAAGCTGTTCTCTCCCATCCAGACCCTTAAAATTTACAGGCAGTAGAAATAGAATATCAATAATATTTCACCTACCTCTCCATCTGTTCCCCACAATAGACAGGATGGGCAGGTATCCAAAGAACAGGTGGCATGTTACAATGTTGACAGATTCCCACCCACTTCACAGTATTCATAGGCTAAAAGGATTCCTGATAATATGCCAAGATAAAGAACAACCACTATCAAAGACACTCTTCATACATTTAAATGAAGAAATAGAAAAGCTGTAATATTTCTCATAAAATAGGCCACTAATAGTTAACTCATAAAATAAGTAATAATAATTAATTAACTAAAAGCTTTTATTAAGGGAGGAAATTCTCAACTATTCCATGAGAAAATCCAGAGGGAGAAAATGGGTCTATGTACTGTATGTATGTGATAAATGTGTTTGTACTTTTGTTACTTGTAGTAATCAGTTCTCAGTCATTGCAGGGTGCAAATATGGCTGAGCACTGATTACTACAGCTGGCACCCGAACAGGGAGCAGTTTTCTATCACATCCTGTTGATGTAACCAGGCTGATATCATGTGAACCAGGTGATATCATGTACCAGCCTGGGGTAGTTTCCCACATTGCCATGGTGATGTGAATGGATAAGATCATGTAGAGAGAAGAGGCACGCAGGAGTTGGAAGGGCAGTTTGCTGCTCACGACCTCTACCTGGCCCCTATCTCTACAGTTACTCCCACTTCGGCCTAATAATCTCTGAAAGAGCAATTTCTAACTTCTAGAGATAGCCTATTATATATAATATATTATTTATTATCTCTCACTCTTTCCCTTTTTCCCCCTCCTCCTTCTAAAATACAAGCACTATAATATTTTTAATAAAATACTAATTTACCATTGTTTTCTTTCAAGGATATGAACAGGACAGTGGCTGCTTATGAAGTACCACCCCCAGACAATATTCTGAAGCTGTCCATCATTCGGAAAGCAGGAACATTTGGATCAATAAAACTAGATTGGGAAGCCACACCTGCCTCTGCTAGTCTGAAAGACTTTTTACCATCATTTGGAAATCTTATATTTGCTGATGGACAAGTATGTAACATATTGATAAAACATACCCTCCCCACATTTTTTATCAATTTGTTCTTATGACTGCAGTATGCTCCTTTTAAGATAATTGTTGGCTAATAATCACATAATGTTTTTTTCTCTTTTTTACCTTTTAAGTACTTTTAAAGCTCATGTCTATGTATAAATATTCAAAAATAAGCTTCATTGACTTAGTGAGGTCTGAAGAGCTTTTAGCCAACAATGTTTGTGGTTCTAATACAGGATGGCAAATAGGTTCCTTTTTTGATGGGTGTTTGCGATTGGACAGCTACTCATATTTACTCATAAATGTCTAACACCATGCATACCATCAATTGCTTCAAAAATGAGAGCCTCATTGAAATCTGACTCATGTTGATATTAAAGGTATTGCAAAAGCTACCAAATATTAATAAATAGATATTCTGTTTCTAAATGTGCCAGTGAATCCTGCTACATTTAGGGGTTTTCCTACTTCTTCTGTTAAGTGGACTTTGCTTCAAAACCTGGTACTGACACAACTTGTAGCACATCAAACCTTGTTGCTTGTCTTTAAAGGACAGTGGGAACTATTATGTAAAAGGGTTTTGTGTTATGTTTCTAACTGTTTATGTGTATGGTATGTATTATACCAGAATTGCCTTCTTTGAGGTTCCTTTTATCTATTTATTTATTTATTAACCAAATTTTGTTTGCATTTCTATTTTGCTTCACAATTAGATCTAAATGTCTTGAGCTTGAGCATGCTTGTGATACTTATTTCATCTTTGTTTTTATTTTTAATTTCTTTCCTAGGTTACGGGAGTGATAGAGATCACTATCATAGATGATGATGAGGTTGAATTTTTGGAAATGTTCACTGTTACCTTACTTAGAGTGACAGGTGATGCAAGATTAGGTGATGATGTGCAGATGATAGTTACTATTGCACCAAATGATTCTCCTGCTGGAGTTTTCAGCTTTGAAGAAAAGCATGTAAGTGAAAGTAAGATCATATATTTATTGGCAGACATCCTTTGATCACTTGCATATCCCAACCTTAATGGATAGATATGTCAGCTAGATGTCCCAGTCCACCTGAGACCAAAAGTGGTAGTAGTGTAAATAATAAGCAGCTGAAATTAGCTAAGATGCTTCCAAGACAGGACATCCTTTCACAAGGGGAGGGAGGGAGTGAATCCATATAAAGGTATCTGAAAACAAGAGTGTGCATTTTCAAAATTAATAAATCAATTCTAAAACAAATCTTAAATGTCTATTTAAAACTAATTCATAAATCCCAAAATAAATATTACCTTAGATATTTTTCATTGTATCAAAAGTAGAGAGCCTAATGTTACTCTGTGGAATTTCAAAGCCTCTCCTTCACATGACTATATACAGAGCAATTGTTTTAGGTGCACAATATTTTCCGGAAGGGATATATAGAGGCTTTCACAATGGTATACATAGCAACTTTCTTTAAGCTCTTAGAACAGATTATAGATACTTTACATGACTTCTATCCCATTCCCCTATCCCAAGGAGGATGTAGCTCTGGATCATTTTCCTCAATAAATAAATAAGTATAATTTGTTTGACTCATTTGTTAATTGGTTTCTCTTTAATTAGTTTTAGGGCTTGTGTGGAAAACAGATCATGTTTTAGGTCATGTGTATACAAAAATATTGAAAATTCCAAAGAGTTCAAAAACTTCTAAGCACCACTGTAGATAATCCATCCTTCCTTAGTGTTTGTGTTCAGTTTTAAATAAGGGGAGCTCTTCTAATTAGTACAATAGTAGCCACTTAGAAAAATCTAGGAAAAATGGTCCAGGAAAAGAACTTTTTTTTTCCTGGCAGGCTCTGTTGATGATTGGAATACCAAAAGAAGTGTAAGCTATTTTAAGGACCTCTGAGTGTCAACAATCGGGTGTAAAAGTAAAATTGAGGTCAGGCATATTTTTAGGAGCTTAAGTAGCAATTCCCCATGAGTTGGTTTCAAAGCTGGCAACTTTGATTAGCAGAAGTGATACCACAACTAGAACTGAATGTTTTATGCAATAGCTGTTTTATCAAGTGATTGTATTTACCTAACAGATAGACGTGTGGTTGCAAATGAAGGTGCTAAATGGGACAAGAGAAGAAATAATGCAGCCTTTCATATATAACAGTTTTGTCAATTAATTTATTGTGAAAAAGGATTTTGACAATAAAGTGCAATTTGTAGATAGAATTCTAACATAAATATATTTTGAATCATCCTCAGATTAATCTTTGTTTACTAATTGGAACAAAAGAAAAATACTTATGTTCACATGAAAGCATCATTGTTACATACTGAACAGATTCAATGTTTATTATACTTCTGATTTATAATTCTTAAGGACATAGAACAAGAAACAATTTAATTTCTTTATAATTGTAGGCTTTATTTGAAAAACCAAACAAAAAGTGGTCACAAAGTCTACTTTATTTCATTATTTATGTATTACAATTATTTTTATACCACTCCATGGTGCAGCTCTGGGCACTGTGCAATCAATATTGCTATTAATGGGCTTCTTTGAATGGCTGCTTGTTTGAATCAAATCATTTGCCACATTAAACAGTTTTTGAAAGGAGAATCTGAGCAAACAGAGAAAGTCCTTTATGCAAAGATCCTCTTTATATTTTATTGAGAGAGGCTGCATTTGTGCATCTCTCCTGCTTGTTGGCAGTTTCTGGCACCAGGTACTAACTTTGGAGTACACTGCTGGTATCCACTAGCAATGGATCAAAAGTGCAATGTGTGGGACATAAAGGAAGCTCAACACTCAACATTTTTTGTGTTATTCAGTATTAGTCTCCATAGTACCAATGCATTTCTTGTTTTAGGTAACAGTAAAAGAACCTCAGTCAATACATGACCCCACAGCAAATGTCTTTCTCACTGTAAGTCGAAGTTCAGGAGGCCAAGGAGAAGTCCAAATTCTTTGGAAACTTGAAGAGGCAGCTAGATATGATCTCACTCCTCTCAGTGGTACTCTTTTCTTTTCTGAGGTACAGCTCCTTTTTCCACTTCACCTTTTTAATTTTGTATTATTATTTTGTTTTATTATTTTATTTTAATTCAAGCTTATATATATGTGTCATATTATCATATTCATATATTTTCATTGCTTTCTTTTTCATTGTGTGTTTTATTGTTCTATTATTTTGCTTCTGTTTTGTTTTCACTTCTTTTCATTTTGTTTCTTTTTATTGTTGTAAGCCGCTTAGGGTAGCCCCATGGCAAAATAGGTGGCGAATACATTTAATAAACCCAATAAATAAATAAGTACATTTGACAAAGAATTTTTTAAAAACTGCATATTTTTCTCTGGTTAAATAATCTATCAGATTTATTCAAATAAAAAACACTTTGATGTTAATCTGACATATTTGCACTGTTAGCCACATGTAGAAAATAGAAAGATTAATGCAAATATGCAATTATGAATTTGATATGGCTAGTATTGTTAGAGAAAAGCTCTCAATTTTTTTCCTATGTTTTAATGTCTTATGACATTCTCTTGTTTAACAACATTATCCACTGGATATATTTCTTAACAGGGTTAAAATTCTATGCGTATCTCCTAAAAGATATTAATTTAATTTAGTATTTTTCTCTTTTGAAACTAATTTCATCTGATGATTTTAATTTCATTTAATGTTAAATTTTCCCTTTTCAGTATACCAAATTATAGCTCTAAGATATATAATCATTATTTCCAATTTTATGCAGATGGAATCTCAGAAAAACATAATTTTGCATGCAATTCAAGATGATGTTTTGGAAGGTGATGAACATTATTCAATTCATCTGGTGTCTACTGATAACACAGAAATATCACCTGTAAATGGTAAACACATTCATTTTAAACGGCATCCAAAGCTGTAATTGCAGCGATTCCAGACAGGTCTAATTACCTTTATTTTTTCCCTTATCTGTAGTGTTTAGAAAACTATGAGATGCCATGATTAGATTGAAATATAGAAAATACAGGGGTTGCGGCTTGTTGACTTTATTCATAAGTTCTCCCATGTTAAAAGATTACTTTGTGCTATATCAGAATTGTAGCATTTTTGAAAAGTGTCTATTTCTTAAATAGAGGTGGGTTTTTTACTAACTAGTTGCATGTGGTATTTGAGGCTTTTGAAAACATATGTTGGGGTTAAGATTGTTTCTCAACTATAAATGCTGAACGTTGTTCTGAATATTGGCTTTGATTCCAGTATTTCAGTGTCCAAGAGAAAATCACATTATGTTGTATTAATCTTGTAATTTTTGTCAGACTTCTGTTGACAAACTGAACTCCAAACAGAAAGAACAAGCTTTTGATATGTAGATTTATTGTGGAAGAATTAACAAAGCAACAATGAAAGAATTTGCATGATTTTTATGTTTCAAATATAAGTTCTACTTGAAGAGAAATAATGGTTTTAATTCTTACATCACACTCCCACCCACAAGTTTTTAATTGACTTAAATTAGTTTATTGCATTATATTATATTATTTAAATTAAAGTAGTGGATAAAGGAAATGCTGTGGATACAGTATTCTTAAACTTCAGTAAGATATTTGATAAAGTAGACCACAGCCTATTTCTTGGTAAGATAGAACAATGTGGGATAGATGGTACTGCATCAGGGCCCTATACAGCAATATGCAGTTCAGTGGTGAGAAAAGGTCCTCCACTTAGGAAAAACCAAATGCATAGGCACAGACTAGGTAATATCTGGCTTAACAGTAGTGTCAGTGAGAGGAATCTAGGTGTCCTGGTGAACCACTGCTTAAGTATGACTGCTTAAGTATGAGTCAGCAGTGTGCTGCACCTTTTCAAAAAAGCCAGTGCAGTCCTAGGAATGACATGATAGCTGTCTTCCAATACTTGAAAGGCTGTCACGGGGAACAGGGGGGATGATTCATTGTCCATAGCATCTGAGAACAGGACAAGAAGTAATAGGTGGAAGCTCATCAGAGGGAAATCCAACCTGGAAATCCAACTTTCTCCTGACAGTGAGAAGAATTAATCAGTGGAACAGTTTGTCTCCTGGAATTTTTAGTGCTCCATCACTGGAAATTTTCAAGAAAAGATTGAACAAATATTTGTCTAGGATGGTATAAGTACTCCTGCCTTGGGTAGGAGGTTGAACTAGAAGACCTCCTAGTCCCTTCCAGCACTATAATTCTCTGATTCTGTGAAAATGAGTTACCTTACTAGATTTTAAGGGACAGTATGATTGGCATAACTACAAGTTACTTCTTTGACAGGAGGAGTTTCCACCTGTCTTTTGCTTTGGAAATAAACTAGTTATATAGATTAGTTTTAGCTATTTTTATTTGGCCTCTAGTATAATAGCTAACATCTTCAATTAGAATGAGGAGATTTAGTTTTAAATCCACTTTCAATTATGGAAGTTCATTAGCTTATTTTGGAACAGTCACTACCTTATAGTTCAAATTCACAAGGCTTTTGTTGAAGGATACAAAATCAGAGGAGGGGATGATGTGTGCACTACCGAAAAAGCAGAATAAAAATTAAAAAAATAAACAAATATATAGCCCTGATAATTAACATATATTGCATTGGTCTTCCAAATAAAAATATAGAATGTATCTAACAATGACTATGCTGGGTAGGTATATTGGGAGTGTAATCCAACACAGTTGGAAACCATCAGATTGTGTATCATTAAATACGGACAGTTAATAATAGAACTTTGCTAATTTACTTTTTCTTAAGAACTTCATGGTAATATGTTGAGAAAAAAATGAAAATTATGTAATTATGTAATAGTTATCATTATTGTTTTGTGTTATGATTTTAAAAAATCTCTTGCATTATTCAGCTTTTATTGGCAACCCCTTTTATGTTTACAGGTATAGCAACTATTACTATACTGGCAGATCAAGGAGCTTCTGGAGTTGTTGGGATATCTTCACAATCCACCCATTTCCTGATTGGGGAACCCGTAGGAAAATATAATGGAACTGCTTTTATTGGGTAGGCAATCATTACATTTTGTATCTTTGCTATAAAAATCATTTTCAGTTTGTGTAAGTATTTAACCACATCTCTAAAAGTATGTCTTGATAGCAATTACCTGCTTTAGGGTTATTAAAATGTTCCAGGTTTTCAGATGTTGGTTCCTTTATCCTTTGGTAGTTTTTGATATATATGTTAAATACTTCTAAATTTTCCCATTTATCGTAAAGAATTCTAAGTATAGGGCTTCTAAAAATAACTGTACAATGCATGCAGAGGAGCACTCAGATATAATTATTGTAGGCACCAGCTTATTTTGGAGACCGGAAGATCTAGTCTTGCCTTAGGCACAAATTCAACTGGATTACCTTTAGCAAACATTCTCCCTCAATCCTAGAAAGCATTGGCAAACCCCAAAATATTGGTGCAGGGAAATGCCCAGCCAGGCAGGGGGGGAGGCCTCAAGTGCAGAACTAGCCTCGAATCCTTGTGCAGCCTCAAGAGATCCATAATTGATCCCCCTTTATCTCCACAGAGCCTTATCTATCTATTCTCAGGTGAAGACTGGCAGTCTGGGAAGATTCCTATATAATAGGCAGAATATAATAATACATAACGTGGATCTGCTAAGTAGTTGCTAAGGGGAAAAAAACCCCACCAATACATTCATGGGCACCTGTACATGTTTTGATGTAAAAATCTTCAAAATTGTTGAGAATATGTTGCATTAACATCTAAAAGAGTAATATTAATTATTTCAATAATTAATCGAGACTTCTGGTTTGTGTCGCGGTGGGACGGGACACAGGAAGGAAGGGCTCTGCCTTCGGCACCCGATTTTGCCTACATGTTTTTTGCATGTGCTCCAATGTACCTTTTTATCTTGTAAAAATAAGAGCTATCCTGCTAGACTAGAGAATGTAGCAATTTTAAAGAAGATCTGGCCTAATATGCTCATGACACATTGACACAACATACTACATTGTTTTGGAAAACTTCTTAGCTTCTTTCCAATGATATCTTGTAATCCAAAACACCCTCAGGAAACTGAATAATTTGTGGTTTACAACTGCAAATCATATATGTGAATTATTAATACAAATAAAGTGTATTTATATTCATGGTGATTCATATAAATTTAGATATGGTTGTTGAATATACAGTAAGCCCATTTAGAAAAATATCAAGTTATTTTGTTGTTATTCAGAAGGGAAGAAGAAGAAAACTCTGTAGAATTGGTTGAAGTATTTGTGTCATGGTTCTGACAGATGAAACTCTTCAAAGAACTTCGAGGCATTGTTTACCTTAAAGAATCTTTATTCGAGTAGCAACACATCGGCACGTACATAGTCCAAGCCAAAATCTGACTTCGACTCCCCTAAGCACATAGTATCAAAACACAATTCCCTCCTCTAACTGTCATAAATCACATTCTCTAATTAGTTTGAAATGCTGGCTTCCCCACCAGTTCTTCAACCCGCCATGTCTTATCATCTCTTATTACAAAAAACCTTGGTTCCCACTCTTATACAGTATTGTTATGTCTAACTAAACTCCCAAGCACATTCCTCCCCCCCCCAGTATCATCTAATTCTAACTCTAAGAGTAAAACATAAAGTAGAGGAAAATGGCTGTATCTCCATATGTTGTCAAAACAAGAACATTCGATGTTAGCAGCGTTGACAATTTGTACATGACATCTAGGAATGTTATTGGACCAATACTGAATAATATTTTAAACATGACTGTTTCTTTTTGTTTGGCAGTCTAGTTCGTGGGCCAGGGATCTTTGGAGAAATCACAATCTCCTGGGTTATAACATCACCTGATCAAAATGAATTTGTTGATGTATCAGGAACTGTCACCATGAGAGATCAGCAGTCTGCTGCTGTTATACTGATTCAGGTATAAATTGTTTCCAGTAGTCAATGCTGACTTGGAGACACAAATGCAACTTTAATAATAGCAATGGAGGTCCTTTGTTCTTTATTTTAACTTTTTTGTTTAAGTTTGTCAAGTATGATCACTACTGACCAAAATGCTTTGAGTCATTTATATTTATTTATTTAAATTTTTGAGCCTGACTTTATTTCACGTGTTACTGCTTTTAAGTTGCCCTTGGTAAGCTTTCTTCGCGGGTATTTTTCTTTAAAGGCAACTGAGAAATCTTTTAAAGAAGAACATAAAATATTGTTATACATTTCCTCGTGCAGTGCAGCACTGGTGGAGAGTCTTGCCAGTATATTTGTATTAGTAATGGTAACATATCATCCATAGATGACAGCACTATATATGCTGTGACAGTTGGTTTTCTAAGACAATGAACTTTTTGCTATACCTTATATTGCTTCATTATTGTTGACAATCTATTTTTCCTTTGCGAACATTGTTATTCACCCATATACCTTGGCTCAGACTTAATAACAAATATCTGTTGTTCCATGTAGCATAGCGAATATTTATATATGTTTTTCAACTTAATATGTTCACTCTCTTCTAGGCTCTCGATGATGATATCCCAGAAGAAAAGCAATACTATCAGTTTCAGTTAACAGATATTAGCAATGGCGGAATCATAGATGAGGAGGCCAAAACAGCAAATATTACAATGGCTGCTAGTGATTTGCCATATGGACAATTCACATTTTCTCAAGATGTACTGCAAACAACAGAAGAAGAAAAATGGGTAGACAGAATTTAAATCCTAATTTATTAGAATAGCTTTTCATACATTAATGCCAAGCACTATGAGACAATAAGTGCTCCAAATGCTTAATTTTACTTTGGGTTTTAATTCTATTTTAATTTAGATTCTTGTGGTCCCTTCTAATTCCAGAATTCTTTGATTCTGTGCTTATCTTTAGAGGAAATAATGAAAGTAGATTTCATCTTAGAAAACATTTGTCTCCAACAGGCTAACATCACAGTTGTCCGTTCTCATGGATTTTACAAACAAATTCACCTTTTGTATAAGACGTTGAATGGGACTGCAGTAGAAGGCTCAGACTTTGGAGTGACTCCAGGAGAGCTTATTTTCAAACCCACTGAAACTGTTAAAACTATTTATGTTGAAATCTATGATGATGATCTTCCAGAAGGTCCTGAGGATTTTTCAGTAGTAATTACAAAAGTAGAATTACTGGGAAGGTAAAAAGAAAAGCCATCTTATAGAAAAAATATTGACCAGGGTTATTAAATATAAAATCCCATTTAGCAACTCTTAGTATCAAAGTTGATTTTCTGGTCAGGATCTAAAGTAAACATGAATTTAATAGGGATGTACCTTATCTCACACTTCCCTTGCAAACCAGAAATGCAAAAATCAGGCTCATTCTAATAGTAATAACTTGTAATTTGGTGTTATTACTGAGGCAGTCAAAGGTACTCCTCAGGTTATGATGCTAATGGGGACCAGAATTTCCATGAATAAGTGATGTCATAAAGTGTGATATTGTGTGACCACATCACTTAGCAACCCCAGTCCCAGTTGCTATTGTAACCCTGGCTATGTGAGTTAGTAGGAAGAGATGGGAGTTCCAGGCAAGCAGGCAGGTTAGAGCTGCAGGTTAGAATTAGATCAGAAGGCAAGTGTTGCAGGTGAGTGCTAGGGAACGCAGATGGGGTTGTGGGCTGTGGGTAGATGCTTGGGAGTGTGGCAGGGTGGGTGGGTGTCAGGAAGTCCAGGTAGATGTTGCAGGTGGAGGTGGATGTCACAGGTGGGCACTAGAGATCATGGGTTCCACAGGTGGGGGTGTGCTATGGGCAAGCAGAGTGTGGCAGCAGCAGGGGGTGGTTGTAAATGGGGCTGGCCTGAATATTGATCATGTAACTGCAGAGGCTCTGCAACAGCTGGAACTTCAAGGACCATTAAGCCCCATCATAATGAATGAATATAACTTGAGAACTTTCTAATACAATAAAATAAGAGCATATGGGGACATGAATGTATTGCCTTATTTATTTATTTATTAACTTTCTCTTCCTATACTTTTGCAAGTGGATTTGATTTTACAATAAAAGAAAATGGATTGCAAATTGATCAGTCACCTGAGATAGGAAATGCTTCAGTAATAAGAATCATTATATCAAAAAGTGACAATGCAGAAGGCATCATTGAATTTGATCCTTCCTATGCAAGACTTGAAGGTATAGTAGTTCCTACTGCCTTATTTTATTTATTTATTTCAGGATCCAGCAAGAAAAATGTTCTTCCCCTGGCTAAAAACTACTAATTGTTTTCCCTTTATTTATTTTCATAAAATATAAAATTCCTTGTTTCATCAATTAAATAATTGAGTATTTAAGATTTGTTGAGCATATAAGAGCAGACTCATTATATCATCTTGAGAAATAATTCTAAATCACTGCAAACTACTGTTTATCATTATCTAAAATAAATGCACATGAACTTTTTAAAAGAATGAAAAAAATACTAAAAATCAAATAAACAATATTAAATTCTCAATTTCCTCCTATTGTAACAGGCAAGTGATTACATCAAATTATTAATAAGCATTCAAATTGTTTCTGGTTACTAACTAAATCAAATATTGTCCCTTAGTAAACATATTACCATTGCTGTCAAGTTGGTTTCCCAGTCTTTTATTGTAGACAAAGTATCTCTTTTCTAGTGTGAACCAAATGTATGCTTTCGGCAATCATTGTATATATTAATAAAATTGTATATATTTTTTATTTACTGTCCTGGAAAGATTTCTTCTAGAAGAAAACATCAAGTTTAAATTCAAGCTTTGTTGTTAAATGTTTTTGAATAATGCTTTCTAGTACTTTTGAATGTGTTTACATGACTACCAAGAGGGATAAAATGTTCTTTCTATATCACATTTCCAACTTTTATTTCTGTATGTTTTATCCCTTTTTCATACCAGTGCATTATTGAATGATAATTGGCAGGAAGACACACAGGGAGGGAGGGAGAGTTGGAGGGAAGAAGGAGAAGGAAAGGAAGTAAGTTCCAATTTCCAATGCTCCCTGCCAATTTCCCACAAGGAAACTCAGTGGAGAGCCAGAATCAATAATATCAACCTCGTTCTCTATGACTTTACATTTTCTGGCCAGTTTGGGCTTGTGTTATTTCTAGTTCTGCATTTTCCATTTTATGAAATAATAAGTATATACACAGCTTTTGTCTGTGGCTTTTACTGTGGATCTTTCTGTAAATAAGGCAATGCCTTCTGAGCACAGAATCTGGCAAAGGAAGTAATAAGCCTAAATATAGCCATATAACATGTGCGTGCACGAGGGAGGGGAGCCTTCATATACAATTCAAGGACATGTTTGAATATACTTATGAGCATTGGCTTCATATATGCTACACACATTAAATAAGCAGACGTTATCAGATTTCGAGGATAAACATAATTTCCACAATTACAATTCTATCCCAGTGATTATATTTGTAGACATTTGCTAACACAGGCTGAACATTTAATTTTGTGAATTTGAGTGAATAATAGAGTATTTATATCAATGTATATAATCATGTTTTTTTTAATACGGCTATGATTTTGTACTCTTTTGAAACCAAACTTCCTGGCACTTAGAAGCTTATTTAAAAGTTTAGAAGCTTACTCCTGAGTAAGACCTTGTAATGCATTCTGTTTGTTTTGTTTCAGTGGAAGAAGATGTTGGTTGGATAATGATTCCAGTATTTCGAAGACTAGGAAGTTATGGTTTTGTGACAGCAGATTTCATATCTAGAAGTATTTCAGCTCTTCCCGATGGGATTGATTATAGTATTACAAATAATTCAGTTATGTTTCATCATGGCCAAATAGAGAGTTTTATCAGCATTTTAATCATAAATGATGAAGAAAGGTAAAGCTCTTTTTCTTGTTTTTCATTCACTACCCTACAATTATTTAAGAATTGCATTTCACAGTCAGTGGCATTCATAACCAAATCAGCAAGACTTGATAGATACCATTGGTCACAGTATGATATATAAGAGTCATGGTGGTGTAGTGGTTAGAATGCAGTACTTCAGGCTAAGTCACTGCTCACTCCAGGAGTTTGATTCTGAACTGTTCATGGTTGACTCAGCCTTCCATCCTTCTGAGGTCGGTAAAATGAGGATCCAGATTGTTGGGGGCAATATGCTGACTCTGTAAACAACTTAGAGTTGTAAAGCACTATGAAGTGGTACATAAGTCTAAGTGCTATTGCTATTGCCTATAAATACAGTTAATAAGAATGGCGATAAAACTAAGTTGTTTTATTAAAAAAAAAATTTAAATCATATGACACTTCATTACTTACCTTATTTTTCCAGGACAGATGTTTAAATTACAATTTCTATCTATTTTTTTCTAGAAGAGTTAGTAGTGTTATTATCAATTACTTCTTTTTGTCCTCATCTATAACTTTAAATACTCCATGTATGATAATCATAGATTCTATCAATATGAGTTGTAAAATTACTGGATGTTCATATTTCAGTGATATATGGGATAGTGTAACTTTGTTTGGTGACAAAGTATGTTTCATTCTTTGGTTTCTGATCAGAGAAAATGCTGAGCAATTTGAAATCCAGCTAATAGGTGCCAGTGGGGGAGCGGTTCTGGGACCTCACCTGGTGACTCAAATAACTATTGCTAAGAGCGACTCTCCACATGGGATTGTCCGCTTCCTCAATGAAAGCCAAATCATTCTTCCCAACCCTAATGTCTCATTAACACTGTCCTTGGTACTTGAAAGAGCTGGAGAATTGATAGGAGAGTCTCAGGTATGTCTATTCTCTCTTTCTATTTGTTTCCTTTTCTTAACTGCTCTGCCTTTAATTAATTAGTGTTTATTTATTTATTTATTTACAATTTTGTTTTATTTGGGTAGGATTTTATATGCTTCACTTGTGTTTTAGAAACATCAATCAATTAAAGTTATAAACCAGCAGTCATTGATTTGGATAAGATTTAAGGCAAAATTTTCCTGTTTAGTTACAGAAAGGAATTTGTTCAGCTGATTCTTGTTTACCTTTGACATGGGCTCAGGGAGGTTCTCAACAACCTGTACGTAGCTCTGAATGGACCAAGAATAATTTAACCTCCAATTTTATTACACACATGTATTACCCATGGCAAAGAACCTTATGATATTTTTAATTTCTCAAATATTAAAAAAGCATGTTACTAATAAATTGATTGGAAATAATGTGCTATATGTTTAGAAAGGAAAGAGATGAAAGTAATTTCAATTTGATACGTTTCCACTCACCATCCAAGCTCTAAATTATTAGTTTTTTAAATATTTATTTATATCTCACTTTTATTATTTACTAAATTCATAGACCTATTTTAATGTGCTTCCTTACATTGTTTACATGTTAATAATTTTGGAAATTTGTAATCTTACACTGGAGTAATCTTATAAAAAGATTTTATGCATGGAGGAATGAACTGTATTTTGTATATATAGAGAAAAACTGTTGAATTTTTGTATTCTGACTGTTATAGTTTATGATCAATGGATACACTTGCTTATTTAGTATTTTATTTATGTAGCTAGTTTCACTAGAGAGTACCAAGTCACAAATATAGATTTTTATGTAAGCTCATGTTTCAGATACGTCAACATGTCTTGATTTTACCTATCATATGTCCCACCCATTCATGCAGCAATTTTATACAGCTCAGCAAAAATTCTTGACTTGAAAATGTTTGCCTGAAGTCTAATGTAGAGAAATATAGTTTTAAATGAGATGTTTGTGGATTTCAGAATGCACATTCTGGCATGCTTAGCACTAACATATTTAGAATATCAGTTATTCTTCATTTTATGTCCCATTGCCAGATGGATAACAATTCTTGTTTTTATACAGAAGGGCCTTTTATGGCCTTATGGCTTGTAATGATTTACCTTGTAAGAGAGAATCAGTTCCTTGTGCTCCTAACATTATAATTTCAACCAGAATTTGCCTAAGATAATTATTCTCTTCACTTTTATGAAGGTTATTTCTGATTTTGCTGCTTCTCTTTTAAAATTTGCTGATTGGTAGATTTTCATTTAATTTTACATGTACACATATATTGTGTTTCGGTTTTTGCAATATAGGTGGCACATTAATTAATTCATTAATTAAAATATAAATAAATTATTTCTGTAATCTAAAACTGATTAACCACTTAGCAGATTAATTGAGCAAATGGGCACACTTTTTCTGGGAATACCCACAAAAGACTTTCATATTATACATTGACTAATATGTACTAAGAATATTTTTATGCTATAATACTTTTATGTTATCAATAATGCTTCCTTAAAATGTATATCATCTGCAGATTAATTGGGACATTTTAGGACCTAATTCAGAGGTAATTTTACCTCCTCTGAATGGTGACATCGGTGACCCAGTAAATGGATCGTTCTATTTTGCGGAAACAGAAGGTGGCTTGCGACATATCAACTTGAAAATTTATCCTCATGAAGAAGTTGAAGTTCAAGAGATCTTCATTATTAGGTTGCGTGTTATGAAGGGAGAAACAGAACTAGATCCCAAGGCTGCCAATATAACAATAAAAGTAAATGATTTTATTATTAATAATAGAACTCTTTTGAGGCTTTACTGTTTTATCTTTTATTTCTTTATTATTCTTTACAGCATCCTTTTATTAATGCTACAACATATAATCATAAATATAGGAGGGGATTATATCTTTTGTCATATCAAAAAATACTATTGAAATTTTTTGAGTTTTTTTTAACACAGGGGGCACAAGAGTCTAAAGGTCTTTCAACATAAAATAATGAGCACCATTACAGCACACCATTTAAAAAGAAAACATATAATTAAAGTACTTGAATATTCTGTATACTGTACCACTAATAAGGAAACCCAAATATAACCATTACTTTTTCTTAACCTAGATTTTAAAGTTTGGTGATCCCAATGGGATAGTGCAGTTTCTTCCTGAATCCTTATCTCCAAAGATTTTTGAGGAACCATCAGCATCTGAAGGTCCATTGAATATTGTGCTTTTCATAAAGCGAATTCAAGGCATTATGGGGAATATCACGGTATTTGACTTTGGTACTTAGTTGTTTGTCCAATATAATTTAAATAAGAAGGTAGAATTAAATCAAGATAGAGAGATAGAGATAGATAAATATATAGTCAGACAGACAGATAGACAAGAGCCAGTATGGTGTAATGGTTAAAGTACTGGACTAGGAGGAGGGGCCAGTTACTCTCAATCCTAGACTTGGAATCTATTAACCCATTTGGGCCAAAGAGTTATATTGAAATAGATTAATTTGGGATAATTTTATATGATAACTAGGTAGATATATAGGAAGTACATAGATATATCTGTTTATCTAGGCACGTACAGTATATGCAAGCATATTACATAGAGAAAATGTATACGGTATGCCATCTGTGTTAGATTTCTGAACTTCCTGAATATTTTGTTTTTAAATATATTTTGTCTTGTAGAATGATTTCAAAGGGATGTTTGTATGAATAACAAAATTTAAAAACTGATAACGATGTGGGGTTTCAAAGGAACTGAAAGTATGCTTATTTGTTCTGAGAATATGTGTTGTTTTCAAATTGTGAAGTCTGTAACATCTAAACTACCGTATTTTTCCGTGTATAAGATG